AGCACTGCAGAGAGAAGGAAAACTTGACACAAACCCTATACCAACCCGTCTGGCCATCGTGGTATAGTAGGCCAAAATCTCCTTTCTAAGGAGAGGCCTATGTCCAGCAGTGGACTATTAAAGGCTGTTGATGTGATGATGATGATGATGTGATGATGAATGGCGGAGTCGTATTATCACGAGCTGCGTAACCTGTAATGTAAACATTAAATAACGTTAATTTATTACATTAAATAAACGAAATGTTACACAATTACCTACATGTAATGACATGAGATATTTATTTCTTAGTTATGTATCTTTTTACTTATATGCTGAATATTGGATGTTATAATAGTACAAATTGTTCATATTAATAATTAAAAACATATAAATATTAATATTAATATTTCATATTAATATTATTTCATATTAATGGTAGCATTATATTTAGTCTAGTTGCTCGAAGGAATAAGTAAAATAAAAATATCCAAATAAAATAAATATCATATCTATTCCAATGAATTCGGACCGAATACTATCAAGCACATCACTATGAAAACTAGACGCACGATGTAACTTTGTACAAGCGCGCAAAAGAACAAAAAATAAATGTTTTCATATTATTTACAAACTATTTTAAGTTTTGAAACAGAGTTTATTGGAAAATTACTTGATTCTGACATTTGACATAAAGTTTTATATTGACGAGGTATTCTAAATCATTCGGCAAATGTGTCGCTCGTGCAAGGTTGTATCAATTAATTTAAGAATAATCTTTCAAATCGGTAATAACTCAGTGGCCGTACTATAACCACACTTCATAGTTTAATTTGGACTGTTATTACCGGATATTTATATACCACGTGTGCCTTGAAAGTTTACGCATAGTGAGTGTTTTTGTGCTTAATGATTAACCTATTGTCTATAATATCAAAGGTTAACTACATAGTATAGTTAGTAGATGCATCTTAAAGTTATGGGTGAGCTTCCTTTTTTGATTACAAACCATACTCCTTTTTAAGTCTTCGCATGAAGCCAATGCTAAACTTAAAAGAAATATTTGTCGTTAGTGTCTTGACAGCGCCTGTGTAACGTGAAATAAAACTTTCCGAAGTCTAAATAAATTTTAAAAATGACTGGCATTGGAGATGAAAATGTACCCGGTTTTGAGCTTATTATCACAAATTTATGAGTTTCTGTGTGTTTATATAGTATACTAACGATATAAGGTAAGACAATACTGACATGATTTTACCCCCTCGTCTGGCTTGGCTCACCTAGCCAAACTGTCCTCGACATATAAAGGACCATATTGAGTCTAAATGCGGAAACCGTAGCCCAAAACCAAGACCAATAGTATGTTCAATTATGAAAGTCTAGTGCTCGAGAATACTACACAGCAGCTGATAAAGCTCCGCTCTTTATTCATGTCTCGTAGTCCTAGAACCATAACCCAACTTTGGCACTATTCACTCATTTTCACTAGAAATGTTCTAGCATAGCAAAATATTTGTAAGTTTGTCAAAGACAGATTAAACTTGAGATTATATATATATATATATATATTCTACCACATACACACAACACCATCTAGTCCCAAACTAAGCAGAGCTTGTACTATGGGTACTAGACAACTGATATAAATACATATAAACTTTTTTTTTTTGTAAATACATACATATGATACATAGAAACACCCAGACCAAATCAAACATCAAATGTTCATGCACACAAATGTTTGACTTGAGCGGGAATCGAACCCGCGACCTTTGGAATAGCAGTCCGTTACACAAACCACTACGCCATCCAGTCGTCAATATTATGATAACATCACATAATTTATGGTATACTAGCGGACCCGACAGACGTTGTCCTGTCAAATTTGACACTGCGATGGTAGCGCCGTCTGTCTGATCCAATGTAAAACATTCCAAAATCAACAACTACTAATAAATTAAAAATTAATTAAAAAAACATTGTCCAGCGGACAAAATTGTGAATCTAAACCATTCCCAGATCCCTTTGAACACACACAAAAAATTTCATCAAAATCGGTCCAGTCGGTTGAGAGAAGTTCAGTGACATACACACTCACAGAAGAATTATACAGAGAGTTTCATTTCCTATCCCAAATACTTAAGCCACATATTCTGCCCTTAATTTCTAGGCGATTTGCAAAATATGAACAAAATATATCCAGTAGTTTAGCCACAGGACTCATTTTTGTGTTTCGTAAATTGCAACATCATGTGTACATGCAGTCATAATACATTGACCTCAGGCGGCGATCAGCTGTATACGCGGCGCGGTAATCACACGTTGCCGCTTTTACTACACCCGAATCGAACGAAATATGTTGATTATTACGTCATCACGATGCAACACGCGTTTTTAATTAGTTCATCCAGTAAGGACAGTCAGTCGGCCCTTGGCCACCGGCGAGCTTATGCTATTCCGTATCCTTGTAGATGCGCTCACGACAAATAACCGTAATAATAATATTGTTGTTGTTTATGAGATACATATTTGTTTAGAGAAGTTTTCTTGTGGTAATAATTGTTTAGTCTTATTGCTTTCGTCATAATACACGGCAATGGTGTGAACAATTAATGTTATCGTGTGCGCAAGACTTCGTAATGTAAGGAGTCCTGCTAATTTTATTTTGAAAAGTCACTATTAGGTTCTGTGTGTAGTGTAGTGTGAAACTGAGTGCATTATCAGTCTTTTAATTTTATTGGTTTATCGATATCAACATCCATAATGCCGTGAGTGACCTTCACAGCGGCGGAATATCCTGCTATGATGTTAATTTATGGAAAACTCTATCAAAACGCATCTTTTGCTTTACGGACACGTATGGAGTCAATCGTGTATGTCCTACAGACTGCCGAATTTTTGTAAAGGCGGTACAAAGATTACGAGACAACCAAGGTAACTACTTTTTCAAGGAGTGACGCGTACTGCTGGGTCGGAAGCTAGTCGAGCATTCACGAAATAAACACGTGAATAAAATCGCATTCTTTATAAATAGATTTTTAAAAGCAAGTGAAGTTATTGGTAGGTAGGTAATAAGAATGTAAAGTTCGCTCGTCGCGGCGGCGGCGTCGTTTTGATGTCGCCGACATTGCGACGCTGCCGTGTAGGTACAGTTCACCGACTCATGTTATCAATGGTGTTCTAATTCGGAAATTATTTTATTGTATTTAGTTTGTTCTAAATTTGCATTTCTGTATTTTCGTACTAATTTTTTATTTTTTTATTTTAACCGACGTATATTGAACCGTGTTATCTGTTATTTCATTTTTTGTGATATCTATACCGCCACAGTGTATATATAAAGATAATAGTGATGCGCCAAATGTATCACTGAGCTGAAAAGATTGATATATATCATTTCGCTCAAAAGATATATATCACTCATCTAGCTCACTAGCTCATTTAGCTCACTAACTCGTTTAGCTCACTAGCTCATTGATCCGATTCAATTGATTGGTCTCTCAATAATTCATTTCTTCATCTATATCGTTTAGCTCAGTATACTCGTATATCATTCACTTTAAGCCTCTCTCGCCATACAAACCTTTCTCTATTTTCATATTAACCTAAATTCAGTTTTTGAAACTACTTGTTTAACCTATTTTTTTTAAATACAATTTTATTCATTTTGATAAGATTACATAATTATTAACACCCTTTTACATAATATTTAAAAATAAGAAATTATTTCTTGTACTTTTTTTTAGGTTGTATAATAGAAATCATACATAATTTGATTTTCCTTGTATTTGGCTTAATTCTTAAGTAATAATTAACTTTGATACTATAGAAATAATGTACATTTTTTATAAAGAAAGTTGCGTGAACTCAACCATCATCTATCTCACTCATTTATCTGTAGTCTCACTCGCTCATGAAACAAAGATCGGCGTCGTTGAGCTAGTGATCTAGTGAGCTAGCACTGAGTTACTGATATATTGGGAGCTAGTGTGAGTGAGTGATACATTTTATCGTCGTGAATGATATATATCTTTTATATCACTCACTCAGGAGCTACACAACTCTAGTATATAACATTCAGGTTATGTCTCCTAATATGCTATATCGTTTCTAAAAACCCTATCCTGCCCAAAAATGAATTTCTCACTATAATGCCAAACTTCAACATCATATATGTGGTATATTTCATCTGGGGATGTCTGTTGATATGACGAAGAGGAGGCAATGGATTATGTATTTGAATCTACAAGCTGTTTTCAGTATTTGTTACGACATCCCTTACACCCTGTATACAGTGTATATATATAGTGCAAAAGGTGTCAAGAGATGGCATTACTTTTGATGGACAGATACTTTCCTCAAGAGTGTATTGCTAGCTATAACAGCAGGCTGTCACTACTATACTAGAGATCATCATTTTAACTTAAATAATTCAGTGTAGGTCAAGTACAGTGCACTGCTGGATGAAAAACACAAACACAACAAAGCTTATCTGGTCACTGCAGTGTACAGAATTGTTTCGACAATTAAATTGTTGCCATTAACTCTTGTGCAATGTTAGGATTCTCTCAGGGTAAAATCTTGTCACTGCCTTGATGGAATCTAGATACCACTAGACCTAGAGAAAGAGAGAACATACAACCAAAGTTTTTTGTTTTGCGATATTTCATAGTTCCTTAATAAATTCATGGCTGTGGCTTCCCTTGTACAATTATAAATTTGATATATTATGATTCAAACCAAATATACTTTATGTACATCTTATAGTCGATTATCAAAATTGAACATTCCCCTTTATATAAGTTTTATGTATATTAATATATATGAAAGTGTTTTGTATTCATTCATGTTATTTGTTTCAGTGTTCTGACTCCACCATGAGATTCACAACTACTTCAATTTTGACAGGATAAGGAACACTTCAGTGCATGATTTACATCTATATAAACATCACTTGCCATAAAGAAAAATAGAATAGAGTACTTAGTAAATTTTTTATTGAATGTAGTATAAACAGTGCAATGGAAGAGTGTCAAAGTGATATAGCTAACCAGCCTTCTTCCATAAAGGGTTGGACAAAAGATGAGAAATTTTATCTGCTGCAAGCTTTAAAAGCATTTCGTTCACATGATATTGAGAGAATACATGAGTATATCAATACAAAGACTCCACATGAAATTTTATTGGCTATTAATCACTACAAAAAAATTGCTTCAGAGCATCCTATATTCGATAAGCATCCCATAAAACCTAAAAAATACTGCAAACCTCGTGTGCCACTTACAAGCTGGGCGAAATTGTTAACAGACAACTTTGCTTTAGAAGAGCTCAGGACAGAATCTGCTACCGCCGTGCGGATGATTGCTGAACTAGAAATGATTCCCGACGATCTCTATACTGAGCATATTGATTTCCGAAAAGTATATCACACAATAGCTAATGCAATGGAAGGTAAATCACTCCAACTAGATAAAATAACAGTTGCAGTACTAAACAAATGTATTGTTGAAACAGCTTTATCAAGTAAAGCGTTTATTAAAACTAGTTCATTCAAATACTTCCTTAATTCTATAGATTTTGATAAGGAAGCACACACATTTCATAAACCTACAGAAAATCAAGAACTTACAGTTTTGAGGCATTTAGCATCACAGAGAAACTATAATCCTTTGAGAGTGCAAGAAAATTATTTGAAACCTACATGCGAACGTGGAAGCTCTTCTAAGGACAAAGTCATTCATAAAGACAATGTATGACATATGGATACTGTTAAACCCTTACACGTGCTAAAATATAATTTTGAAATAAATAAATAATTAATTAGCCTATATTTTGTTAATCAAATCTGATTTATGAGATACAAGAGATGTCATATTATTTACTATGTTACTTTAAAATACAAAGCAAAAGAGGAGGTTCTATCAATACATATTTAGTTTGGAATTGATTGTTTGTATTGTGGTTCCATCCATGATTGCAACTTCCAGATCATGAGACTGTACCTGTCTAAGAAAATATTCTTGCAAACTAAATCTTGTTAATGAAGAGGATTCAGTTTCTTTAATAATTGTAGTCAAGTTAGAAATAAATATTTTACATGTAATTGTAAAGACAAATGTTAAAAAATAGTAGTTAATTGTAACATTATTTTACTTGCACAAAGGTGATGTTAAATGTGTAACGTTTAGTTTGTAAGTTGAGCAACATATGCCAACACCAATATAATACTTTTAGGTCATCATTTTCATGTAGTTTCTTAGTAGTTATGTATATGTGATGTATGGAAGCCCTTGTAGACACAATTATTTGTTCTGGGTCTGAATCCAATCCACCATGTCTGGTTAAGCTGTCAGGTTCACTAACCACTAGACCAACAGGTCAGTCATTGCATAATAAATTATAAATTCAAATTTGTTAGCAAAAAAGAAAACAACAAAATTTCTGATAAGAATGAAATTACCTCCAGCTGAAGGGTAAGTGAAAAACCCTAGTGCATGCAGGTAGCATGCATTGTGGAATGTTATGCACTATGGTTATCAATTGATCTTGATGTATTTCCTGCCTATGAATGATAGTATGACCAACACCAACCCGAACATGTAACCGACTATAAAGGTAAAAATGTACAAATATCTAAAATATTTTTTATATTTTTAATTTTAATTTTACTTTCTTATTAAGCACATTAGTAAAATTACGGTTTCTTGAGTTTAAATAGCTCATTCAAATAAACAGCAATTCATTTAAGATTGGTTATCTCAAATATCTCATAGTTTGTTTACCAATGGCGTTATACACATTTTCTGCTGTCCTGAATGTGTACCTATAAGTATATACAGTTTTTCATGTATTAACCCGTGTTAATCTATTCTAAGAAAGATGTTTTGGTTTCTATTGTAGTTGTGAAAGAAATCTAATATCTTTTCTTAATTGATTTCTATGTATTACAGATGCAATTACAAAATGTTCAAAAAAAAACATTTGTATGTTTATTTCAATAATAAACTGTTTGAAGTTTCAGGACTGTGTTTTTTCTTACCCTAAAAATTAAACAGAAAACTCATTACCAATTGATTTAATAAATAAGCAAATTAGTTACTTTCATACCACATAATCGCTGACTAAATATTGTATTATATTATTTATTAAAGGTTTATTACGAATTTAGCCATTCGATAAATTTACTAAATATCTTAAGAGCTACTTTTACTATTCTATCCCAAAAGCCAGGCTCCTCTTCTTCATTCTGACTCACAGCTGTTGGATACTCGTCATCGAAAATTTCCACTTGCCGCTTTTCCCTTACTGGATCTTCAAAAGTATCAAGATTATCTAAAACAAAAAAGGTATATACAATTACTACACTAACTGTCTTTGCATTTTTGTTTTGGACTAGCTCATGTAGTATGCCAGCTAGTAAGTAGTCGTACTTGCGGGTTCTTCTACGTTTACCTTTATCTTTTTCAATGGCAAATGAGTTAGATTACGCGTATGAAGTGACAACCGCCGCCCATTGACACCTACATCTCAAGAGACACAAGGGCGAAGCCATTCTTTAATTGTCACAGAGTTGGGTCTCCGTTAATCCCACTCCAAAATAATTGCTTAACACTGGTTTTCTTAGACCTTTACTCATTAATGAGAATAAAGTCAGGAAATTTTGGCCTTCTTATTATTAGTTCGTACTCCTGTGATGCAATAGGCCCAAGCTCAGTGCAAGAGAAAACGCAACATAATACTTAGTAAAAGAACCTAAATCTATCTAATAATGTAGGTAGGTAATACGCAACTGTAGTAACACAAACAGCACTACTAGCCGTTCCATCTTCGTACGGGTAGCTAAGTTGTTTTCATTTACACCTAACTATTGCTTCACGCCGGTAAAGTACCTACCCAGTCGGCATGTTTTTTCAGAAATCTTAAACAATCGCCATATTTTAGTAACATTTTTGGAAAAACTACATAATGGGTGGCCAGAACAGTGGGAGGTTGTCGGGTTAAAGCCCTATTTTAATAGGAAAAAGGAGTTATATGAAGAATTAGGTTGTATCATTTGGGGGCACCGAGTGGTCATACCCGAAGGTTGTAGATATGAAGTTTTAAATATTTTACCCATATGCGGCTACGGGTATGGTAAAATCTAAGTCGCTAGCTCGTAGTCATGTATGGTGGCCGGACCTAGACGAAGCCATAGAAGCAGTGTGTCGCTCATGCACCGTGTGTGCGGCGCACGCTGAAGCTCCTCCACGTCATGCGCCCAGCCTGTGGCCATGGCCGGGCCGTCCGTGGTCTAGAATACATGTAGATTTCATGGGCCCGATATTTGGCAAGACTTATTTCATTATAGTAGATGCTATGTCCAAATGGATAGAAGTCTTTCCAGTTCCCAGTACGGCTGCGGGAACTACTATTGATCATCTGAACGAACTATGGTCTAGGTGGGTATTACCCAAGCAAATAGCGACAACGGTCCGCCTTTTACAAGTAAGGAATTTGAGCAATTTCTCAAAAATAATGAAATAGAACATGTTTTTACGGCACCCTACCATCCCGCAGCACGCATCACCGTACCTGTATCGCCCCAGCCTCGTCCAGTATGAAAATGTAGACTTAATAAACAGCTTCGGTATAAATATTAAATTGTTATTAGTTGTGAAATTTGTTGTGTAGAAATAAAATTGTTATTAGTTGTAAGGCTTTTTGAATCTTGTAAACTTAAGGAATTACTATAGTTAATAAGGAATGTATAATTTGAGTGTGAGGGAGTGTAATGTAGGGTAATTGTATTAAGTAGTTATAAGTCTTAGATACCGTATATATGTATAAACGTGGGTATCGAGCAAATCCAATTTTATGTGCAGTCGGAAATAAATACTTGATTGTGCAATACCTGTATTTGTTATAACCCGCAAACATTACACCATCAAAATACCCATATAAAATTTCAACCCAATCGGTTCAACCGTTTAGAAGTTATGTGATAAAGATAAGTACGAAAGGATAATTCTTACTACCCGTTGTCCTATTACCTGTTTTCCCGTAGGAATGAAGCATTTTCCCGCGGTAAAAAGTAGCCTATGTTCATCAGGTATAATGTCGGCTTCTAATAGTAAAAGATTTTTTTCAAATCGGTGCAGTAGTTTCGGAGCCTATTCACTACAAACAAACAATCAAATCTTTCCTCTTAATAATATTAGTGTAGGCTAGCTGACCCGCGCAGCTTCGTCTGCGTCTCTCAAAAGGAATAAATTTTCCCTGATTTTGCAAAATTTCTTATTGATACTCGTCTCCTATTGGTTGTAGCGTAATGTTATACTTATAGCTTATAGCGTTCGATAAATGGGCCAACCCTAAACTACTTGTGTAATTTTTTTTCCATCCTGAGAAAAAACGATTGAATCTGATCATATATAATTGGATCCAAACGATTAGATATAAGATTCAAATTTTCCCAGGATCCAACTAGGTATATATGATAAGATATAAATATATTTATTTTACATATAATATATATATATATTGATAAATATAGGAATAAATACATACATGCCATCCATGTATGAAGATCAGCTTGAAGAGTGTTGGAAATCAAACACTGGATTAAATACTAAGCGCATATACCTAATATTCCGTCACAATTCTTGATACTTACATACAGTGCTGCCAACAGTTAAATGAGCTCTCCATCAGATTCAACGTCTAAAACCACCAGAAAACCACTAACGAAAACCACTAAAAATGACCCTACTTTAATAGTCACAAAATTATCCACTAAACATTTTTTTTTGTTATTCCAAATGAAATCCAGAAGTATTTTAATAACTAGGTACTTTCCTTTATTAAAACTTAATACTGATACTAATCGTTTTTGTCAGCACCATCTTCGTTTGTTTTACGTTTATCGGAATTTCATATTTGTTGCAGGATTCTCTTTCCAACTTCAAACCACAACGTATTCTTAACATATCAGATAAAAGACTTAAATTAATTATATTTAACTGTTTATACCTAAGTATAGTCTCTCAACTCGACATCGGCATTGAAATGAGACAGTATTAAGCTCGTTATTTAGCAAAGATTTTATAATGTCGTACATGAATTCAAAAATGTTGTAATATTCAGATAATGTAGTAAATCTTGTGTCAATTACGGTTGAAGAAAGGCAGAGGTTGTCTGTCGGAGTCAACGCTTTGAACCTCCTCCCGTGATGGGTGATTAGGAAGGCATTGGTGTATCACCAGTTGCTCCCCTACCTGCGAGACATCTTCAGGGCTTATTTTCACGACAGTTCCATATCGTATATGGATCGAGACGGCGAAAAATGTTTAAGGGAACCTCCTTTACTAATAGGGTTCCCCAGGCGTCGGTCCTAGGACTTCTTCTGCGGAACCTCGCACATAATGCAGTCCCACAAAACTAGTCTATCCCTAGAAGTAAATGTCGTCTGCTATGCGATGGAGGACTCAGAGCTGGCCAAGTTCAGGGTATTTTGTGTCATCCAAAAGATCAGCGGTCTGGGCTTACGGTTAGCGCGCTATAAGACGGCATCCCTGTGGTTTAACAAAAAACACGTAGGTGCAGCTCCTACTCGCTCGCTCAATAGCGTGGGGTAAACAGAGGTCAAGGTCAAACGGCATAACAAGGGCTCCAACGACAGGAGCTTCGAGGAGCATTTTGCGCAGATTATACACCGAGTTCTCGGAGTGGCGAACTCCATACAGAGACTGCTGTCTAATCTAGGGGATCTAGGGTATGAGAAAATTCGCAGTACTATGCAGTGATTCGATCCATATACACTACACAATAATTGCATATAAATGATGTGATGACGAAAATATCAAGTGTTTCACTAAGTATAGTAGCTTGGTATATTATATAGGTATATTTTTGGTAAAAAGTACAGAACTTGTTTGTTTTATTTGAAACAAAATCGCTAAGAACCTGACTACCTGCACCGACTAATAAAGGCCTTTTTAATAACACCGAAAGTGTACTCAGCTCTTTATCCTAAACTTTCCAAGGTTTATTTAGAGAACTGATTACTAGTAACTTAATATTTATTGACTTACATGAAATGCCGGACGAATCTAAAGAAATCTGAAACAACAGAAATATCAATTTTAAAATAGAGGCTGTTGTTATTATTGTTATGAAACGTAAGACTCGTAGTGATCGTAGTTAATACCTAGGTGTTATTTCTTACATCAGTTCTTCTTTATTAACATTGTGTTTGGTTACAATAAATCGGCATAAAATAAGGTTTTATGACTTCATAACCCGCTATTGCCAAATCATTAACTTTTACAAAAAAAAATTAACTCTTCGAACCCTTACTATAATATTTTTATTTAAACATTAATACTTTGTAATTTCCTGAGAAGAGCTTCTTATAATTTAGTTTTCCCGCAAGCAAACATCGCTTTTTAGGCTTTCTAATATTACCAATCTTACTTAACAGGAAATCCTTAATCACTTAACTATTTATACAGTAAATAACTTACCTGAAATGCATATACGTAAGAATAAAATAAAGCTGCTAAAGCGACCGTCAACATTAACGTCCTCATGTCTCGGTATTAAATTAACACATTGACTTCCCATGACTGTGAACTTGCGTTTTATACGAGGGCGTGGTTTCGCCTGATTGTAGCGGAAAATCAGTGCTTGCTGTATCATCGTTCATCACTGCTGCGACAAGTGCTTACAACCTTTTATTATATTTAGCTCTGTACATCTACGGTCTAAATTACGGGTATGAATTAGGTACGTATCTAAATTACTTTCGGAACCATTTTTATAATTAAGAACTCATTAAGTTGTTATAAAGTTCTATTAAGTAGGTTCAGTTTTCTAATTAATTTATTTATTTGCTGATCAAAGGTGTACCATGGTGTTAAATAGGAATAAAATATATCACAATTCCTTTTGAATCAACTTTGAGACGTAGAACACGCGGATAGTTATACTTATTTATATCGTATCATATATGTATTAGTAGATACAGTTGTCTAATTAGTAGTGATCGGAATTTGGGTACTATTTGAGACGATATCACTAGTATGGATATGACGATGTGCCCGGGATGCCGGTAATTATGGCAAGGCTTAAATTTTTTTGATATTATTTAAAAAGTGTAGAAATTGGGTTTGTTTAAGGAATAAGTTTATTCATTAGTATTAAGCGTTTAGATTTAAAGAGTAGTGACTTACAAATATATAGAAAGGATCATCTTTAAAAGTTCAACAGAAAATAATAAAAACATTTCAAACATGAAATTGATTTCAATTTTATGAATAAAAGACCTCGATTAGATAGAATATGTTTATTTTAACAGTAGATTAATAATTACTAATATTAAATAGATATATATATTTGCATCCATAAATAAATAAATAATCCAATAAGTCTCATAGAAAAATATTATCGTATCAGTTAGTAAGCTAAAAGCTCATCAAATATTAAAAGGCGGCTGCTGGCTGTGCAGGTTTATTCGGATGAGAGAGCAGATAGATGGGGCACCTGGTTAGAAGCAGCATCGTACTACGCCAAACATTTCCCTGAAGTAAAGGAGTGCTTTCCCATTTAAACAGTTTAGAATCCTTAGCAATAAGAAATGCAAAAAATGTAGTAAATACAGAAAACTTAGAAGCAAATTTGAAAGAAATTTATGAATTTTATAGAATTATAAAATGAACTATACTTGATTTAGAAAAAAAGTTGTAAAACGATCAGCAAAGCATTTCTTGAATTTGATAATGTAAAACCTCTATTAAATTGGAAAGCCTCTGAAAGTATAAATAAAAAAATTGAGACAGTTATGGAAAAAATCCTGAAATTATTCGAGATTATTCTGCAAAACTAGAAAAAACCCTCGAAGTAGATGATCATGACAAAGTATTACAAATTTGCACCATTAACGTATTCAGATGTTAAACGATCTTTTTCAATTTATAAATGGATACTACATGTCAAAAGAAACAGACTAAGTGTCGAAAATATAGAATAAAATCATGGTAATCTATTTCGACCGTTACTCTTCCGATGAACAACAATCTTGGATATATGAAACTAAAGTAGCGGCACCCTATGATGGCCACTGTCAACTCATCAAGTTTCGTATTAATTAATAACTACGTTGAAGGAGCATATTGCTGTACTTTATTGTATTCGTCAAGTTTCGTATTTAATTAATACGTACATTGACCTCCGTTAAATTCCTCTAGTTTATGTGTCAAAACAGCCATCATAGCATGACGCTACTACTACGCTACCGCTTTATCTATCCCAAAGTTTTTCAACGGAAATTTACCTACTATACAATACTTTGTCAAAAGTCAAATCCGACTTGTTCTAGGCCAAACCGATTTATCCTACATTATGCATGTCAAGATATACTAGTGTAGCTTAGAATATCTAGTCAATAAACTGGTTTAGCTTAAACAAACTAGTTTTGCCTGATATTGGGTTTGCCCAGCAACATTATGTTGTTTTAGATTGTTTATTGTTTGATTTTGCACAATTGTCTAAATGAACCTGTAATACTACTTGTTGTTTTTTTTTATAAAAATAAACTTTAAGTACCTATAAAATGATTGTTTCATTTACTTAGTAAAAAAATTCTGATACATATATATTTGTTGCGTGAAGTTTGAATTATGTAGAAAAAAAAAAACCTTGTATAGAAGCACAAGAATCATTATTTTTCAGAATTCCAATTCCCGCAAAAATTTTCATCAAAGTACCGATTCACGTGAATTTTTGGTCATGTCCATACTTTTGATAGTAATAGCACCCAAAATTCCGGTCATTACTAATTAGTTCTATATTAATTAATTTTTGGTAGGGTTTTCTTTAATTTTTCTTTAAAAAAGACAACTCCCGCAATAGGAATATATCCTGTATCGCGGGGGACTTAATAAACGTACATGAAACGGACACAAAGAACACCCAGACTCAGAACAACAATTTCTGGATCACACAAAGTGTCGTCCCATGTGGGGATTCAACCCACAACACTCAGCGTAGTACAGCGTATTTACAAAAATAAATAGATAAAATATATAGAATCCACTCTGCTTATGGTTGTGTACGATTACCCGGTTATCTTATGACTGCAGCTTTTTTGTGTTTTCGTTTTAGCACCGCACACTGCCGTCTTTTTCAAAGGGGCGGCAACAAACGAGAACGAAACATTCTCATGTCTAATGTCTTTATTATGTCATAGCTCATAATAGTAACATCTATTGATCTGTGTGCGAAAATAAATACAAACCCTTATAAGCCTCGAATTACTATAATAAACGTAAGGATGTATAATTTGAATCACATAAGGTGCATCCCATATTTGGGAATCCCGCGCATGCACCTTGTGTTTTATGTTCAAGAACTTATGGAGCGGTTTAATTCTGATGCTTTGGAGATCACCTGTGTCTATTCCACAAACGGCCTTGGCCTGGGTGCCATCACTGCGATGGCCAGACTGTGGACACGACGCTTCACACGCTGGCAGAATGCCCGGCGTAAGGAATGGAAACCCGTCGTGGAAACCATGGTCACCACACATGAGGGGGCCATCTGTAAGCCGTAGATGAATCGGAGTCTGTCAGGGTATTAGGGAGTTCCTTTCTAGGTTACACCTGGTTACCCGGCTACTACCCAAGAATGCGGTTTTAAGGCCGGCGCTGCCTGACTGTTGGTTGTGTCGGTATGATTGACCGGGATTTAGTATTAATAGCAACTCTGGCTGGAGATGAAGAGAGACAAATACAAACTGATATTGATAGAAGAAAAAACATTCGAGAGCCATGCGTCAACTTGATCAGAAATAAAATCCATAACCACCCTACCGGTTGTCCGGTGTGGGTATCCGAAGGGCGATTTCGGCACGGAAAAAGGGCGACTTCATCGGCCGTGCACGCGGGCGATCAAACAGCTAGCGACGGCCTTGCGTTTCAGTTATATAATTTGTACAGGCTCTTTTTGTCTACAACTATCATGTTAGAACTGAGTCCTAATATATGATGCCCCAAATATATTAGACACTTAACTATTTATTGAAATTGATGTACCCGTGTCAATACTTCTGCACACAGCTGTACTATTAAGATTCGTATAACATGCATGTTGTTATTTAGTAACGACCTTGTCGATTCAGATTCATGTTCCGCATGAAAGCTCCAACACAATAGAGCACTGTCCAGTGTGTATCATAGGCGTGGATTTGACGGAAATTAATAGTATTTAGTCATCACATAATGTTCTCATTGTGTATCATCATGAAATACTTTATGGTAAAAAGTTTTAGTAATAGGGCTAGCCATCAACTACAACATGGCAAACCTATATCATTCAAAGGCAAAATAAACTTGCTGTTCTTTATAATATTGCTGCAATTCACAAAACACAAAAGTAAACAAAAAAAAACCTATTTTTGCTGTACCTAGTTGAAAAAAAAATTAAACACTCATTTCCGTTGGAAAATATGTTCAATAAAAAAAATAGAAATAACACTTATTTTTGAAGGGATGGGTCATGTTTTAACAAAATATTTTCATTTTCATATCCTAATGAAATTAATATTATTATTAAGTGGTAAATTAAAAAAAAATTGTAGCCTCGATCCTCGATTTTGTAGTATAAGTTATGAACTTAAAGTTATGAACTTTTAACTCTTTTTAAGAGCCGACTAAGGGAGCAAACTACGCAGGACAACAGCACTGCAAAGAGAAGGAAAACTTGAAACATACGACCAATTATTTTCATGACAATTCACGCTCTTAAATATACATTGAGGAACCACATTAAAAGTATTGTATATTCTTGAATATCAACATTACTGGATTCAGATTTTTAGTTACTATACACAACTAAGTACTACTAAATGATACAAAATTTTAAAAAATATTCATTAACTTACTTTCGTGTTCCAGGTGGCTCCTCAATTCAGATGTTTAAATTAAGGAGCCACTTTTACATTGATATAACTTTGGATATATCTTACTACGAATTTCAGAATTTTTCCTACAAAATTATTTTCTCACCTATTAAATTCGGGGTGAGTTTCCGTTTAAAATCTGAAGAAGGCTCCTCAATCCATGTGGTTTTTTTCTTTAGTAAATTTTCTAAAAATAAAACCTAGCTAGATCGATTAATCGCCCCGAAACCCCCAGCATACTAAACTTCATGAAAATCGTTTCAAACCAAAATTTATGAAAATTAACTTGTCACAACCAACTATAACCCGTTCAAAAAAAACAGTATAAATAGAACGCCGTTAACTGCAGTACTTAGTTGTCATAGAAATATTAAGAAACGCTAATGAACCAACAATTACACAATGAAATGTGGGGGGATATCGTGTACTTACAGGTACTAGTCTCATTTTTGTTATTATGGGCAATTTATGATAATTTTTTCGACATAAGTACTGTCATAAAATATGTCAAATTTATAATTGATTTAGAAATTTCGATGTAATATAATTTTAAATTATTTTTCTGTTAATACTTACCTATAAGTACATTAAATATAACAAAAATACATATATAGGTAAATAAAAAAACGGCAAAAAGTCGTGTTGACTAGAACTGCTGCGGTAGGCGATAGGATGGCGGCTTGGTCGCAAAAATCGCGATCGGGCCGCAACATTATCATAAGGATTGGCTGATAGGCGGGGAATCCTTCTTTCCCCGGGATAGGGCCTGGCTAAGCGCGGCGTCGATCCGGGGGGACCTGAAATAACATGGTCCAGGTCCTCCTCGGCGTAGGGCGCCTGAGTCCGGCCGTTGGGGTGGTTTTTAGTGGAAACACCGCATACTCCTGGCTCCTACATCCCCACGGAGCCGGAGATCCGAAGGGATTTTTCAAAATTACTGTTTAGAATCACTATACATAGTACTCTGTGATCACTACCCACTGTTTTGATATGAAAACAAGGTATTAAATGGATGTTTAAATGACACTGCCAGCAGTTTCTCAGATACCTTCACTTTTTGGAAATAAAACACTGGTTTCACAAGTCTATTATTTCATCAAATTTGTCTAATTTTTCCAGTTCTTATATCAGTACTATCGTTTCACCAGTTGAATGCACAGTTTTATTAGTTTTTTGAATACACAATCGACGTCTACCGTGGCACTGCAGCGCCCACTGCCAAATTTCATTTCAAATTTTCAAACAAAATAATCTATTAAAAAACAAACTACTACATTAAAGAAGATTATTTAAAACAGAAAAGGAGAATAATGCCGGAACAAGTAAAAATTGAAAGAGAAAAGGGTAACAAAGCAATAGTAAAGTATGACAAGTTAGTTATTATTGAAAAACAAGAAATAAATAATAAATCTGGTAACCATAAAAGATCTCTCTAATAACTAATCTAAGTAAAAAACTAATAACCGCAACGAATCATCGCATAGCCAACCTTTTCTCAGCTAACTATACTTAAAAGATAACTATCTAACCGACTTTTAATGAAGAAATACTTAAAATATATATATATATAAGTATATTTAACGATTTGTAGGCTTCACAGAAAGAGTCGCTCTGCTAGACCTTAACATTCAAGGGTATAATATAATTATGTAAGTATTCAACAAGTATATGCTCCCGCAGCGGTCTAGTGAAGAAGAGATAGCAGAATTCTCGCATCTTCGGAGGAGGCCTTCACCTGAGAGGGGTCCACACAAAGAATTAAAAAAAAAACATATAAATAATAATACTAACAATTACCTATGTATAATATACCACATATTTCAACTTCAATCATAATTATTTGCATGTTCTATTGTTACTGAATTGAATTTGTTTGTCATTTAAAGTATCAAGTCATCGCCTTAACAATAAATTAATATCATTGATATTTAATACTTGCATGGTGAATTGTTTATTTTAAAAATACATTTAATAACGTAATAATAATATTTAATAAATATTTCGGACATCTAACACATGCCATCTAGTTTCACACTAAGCAGAGCTTCTACTAAAGCTAGATAGCTAGATTGACTGATAGAATACTTTTATACTTTTTTTTCGTAAATACATACATATTATACATAGAAAACACCCAAACTTCAAAACAAATATTTGCAGATCATACAAACATTTGATCCAGCCCGGGAATCGAACCCGAGAACTCAGCTCACCAATCGCATACGCTACCTACTTAAGTAAACGCATGGAATAAAGTTTTTTTTTAATATAATTAAATTGTAAGTTATTGTAAGTATGTGCATACTTACTGTCACGGTTCTTTTTATGTTAGGCATATATTTTTCCCTGTTGAAAAATTCCGAGCGCGCGACTCTTTGAAATCTCGGCATGTGCCTACTTTGCCTTAGGGATAAGCCGCCACTGACTGTGAATGACACCATTTTCACCCACGTTCTTAGTATCTGCCTTTTGTCTCACTTTTAAAGATCCGTTATCCGTCGTTATCCGTCGATTATTGCAATTTTCTTATCCATCGACAGAATTAAAGAAATAAAATTGCTGGTCACATTTATGTTATATACCTTATATATATATATATATATTTACGGGCCCGGATAGAGTGGACTATGAACACAATTATTGGACGAGTTTTTTCAAATGGTCGGTCTGGGTTATTATGAGAGGAATTCATTAGGTATATCTTACGAATGGGAAACGGTCGTCCCGCAGACCGAAACGATGTATATTATAGTTTTTTTTTTGCATTTGGTGCAGTATTTACATTTAGCATTAGGTAGGTATATGGGTAATGTATGGAAGACAATCAATAGGCAACCTATATTACACTAGAATATAAAAACACTAATATAGCACTTAAAATATTTATTATTATAATTACCTAATTAATTCTTTTAAATATTTAAATTACTTTTTGGCACCTCCAAACCCTGAGAAACCCATGATCTGTGCTAGTTCCGACTGAGCTGGAGCATCATCCTCAGGTTCATCGCTTTCCATTAGCTTACGTTTTTTATCCCGGCGTCTTTCTCGACGAAGTTCTTTTACCCTGGCTTCCTCCTCTGCTGCCTCACGCAAACGAGAGTCCAATTCATATTCACGTTTCTTTTCTTCAAGTTTACGCTTATTGAGAGCGAAGCGAGCTTTAACCTGGAAAATATTAATAAGAACTTGTTCATATATATTTATGCTAAAAAAAAGCAGGCAAGCAAGATTAAATAGTGGTGGAAGTCTATAACTGGCTTTCAAAATACAATTGATTGTGAGGTTGTCATGCCAAGGGTTGTGCAGTAGATCCACATCACAATTACATATTTATATAAGACAATAAGAGATAGAGAAGAAAATTATCTCACTGCTATCTATAAATTTAAAATGGTACGTTGGTTTGTGTATGCTTCAAAAACTCAAAAAGTTTGGCAGCCCTAATTTCACATGATATATATACCAGATGCTTCAAAGATTGTTTTTATCCACTATCTTCTGTCAGTTCTGTTCCTCATCAAAACAACCACAATGCCACCGTGAAGCATGATAGGTACAGCTAGTTATAAATAAAGTAATAATAATACAATTTAGCAATTATAAAATTATACTGAATAAATGAAAATTATTAAATATTATACCAATTGATAAGCATTGCAACTAAAAACTTCAAGTTAAACAAGTTACTATTATTATTATACATATTTTATAGTTTGCCAAAGTAATTATTCTCTGACATGACTGAGACAGAAACAACAACATAGAATTAACAAAGGCAGATACATGGTGATTAATGTGCGTCAAAAGAGTATGCATTACACAATGATTTTGCTCTTTTGCCCTCTGCTGATTAACAGGCAGCCAAGGTAAGCAGGAGATTTTATATGCTACAGTCAGCCAATGCAATTGCTAAGTCATTTTATTATATTTAATACTTATTTTTTATGGATAAAACATTGCACAGCCAACTGAACATTTCTCTTAATTTAAATATCATCATCATCAACAACATTTAATAGTCCACTGTTGGACATTGGCATCTCCTCAGCAAGGTTTTGGACTACTATACTGTGCTGGCCAGATGGGTAGGTATAGGGTTTGTTTCAAGATTTGCAGTGCTGTAGTTTACTCCCTTAGTCGGCTCTTACAACACCCGTGGGATGAATAGGGGTGGTGAAACTCAGATTCTTAATCCTTCACCACACAGACACGGACACAAATATTAAATACGATACACAGCACATCAACCTTTACTAGTCCACTGCTGGACATAGAAAGGAGGTTTTGGCCTACTATACCACGCTGCCCAGACGGGTGGGCATAGCGTTTGTTTCAAGTTTTCCTTATCTTTACAGTGCTCTTGTCCTGTGTAGTTTGCTCACTTCGTCGGACATACAACATACAAAACACAATAACACAAAATTATTAAGCAGTTTCTACCCACAGGGTATAGTGTAAGTCAATATACTTGTATTAAAGGTAGACTAATTTCAATATTGTTATTTAACTGTATATTTTTGGTTTTCAGAAAGCATACACTGGTGGAGTGTCAATTAGACTTGTTATTATTTATTATTATCATACAATTTAGACTTGCTAGGAAGTTGTAGTCAGAACAATACATCCATATTTTAAAGTAGACAAATAATTGATTTTTACTAGTGCGGTTTGGATTAAAGCTACAGAACACTACAGTGTCAGTTAATGTTGAGTACCTAAACCTTTTCAAGAATCTAAAACTAGATTATTTCTACAATAAAAACATTCCACTCAAATAATAAATATTCTTTGTTTACCTGATCTAATGAACTTCTTTCAATTTTCATGGACATTCCAAGATTTCTCTGATGTTTTTTGCCATTAATATGGTCCAAAAAGTTAATGGAATCTTTGACAACACAATCACAAACATTACAATAGTACCCTCCTGATTGTGATGTTGGCGTGTTCTTTGTGATTACCACGCTTTTTCCTAATTTAGAATCTAAGTCAACCTTGTAGTCTCGCTGCTTCAAGAGCTCTCTTTTGATAGGAGGCGCTGGAATTTTATGTTTAGATCATATATTTTAAATACTTTTTTATGTAATACTGTATTAACATTATGGTCATTGCTTAGCATACCTTTTTTCTTTGCTTTTTCTTCTTCCTCCAATTCCGCCTTTAATCGTTCTGCTGCGATTTTTTCGAATTCATCTTTATCCCATTTTCTACGGTGATCATCTGGCCTCATACTCATGGTGACGACTTAAAATCACTCAGTTACTTAACAGACACAAAGGGAGCACAACAATTTTATATATGCTTATTTTCAAGTATAAATGAAAAATCACCATACATATATTATTACCAATTGCCATTCAGAAAAGAAATGAAAACACAACACAACACACATACGGAATGAACAGTGTTGCCAACAGTTAAATGAACTCTCCACCAGATTCAACATTTGAAACCACCAGAAAACCACTAATAAAACGATAATAAAACGACCCGACTCTAATGTTATTCCACTTACCATTTTTTTTACCGACTTTTGAAGTCGGTAAAAAAAATGGTTAGTGGAAAAAGAAAAAACACAAAAGAGAAGGTTATCAATTCGTCTGTATTTTTTTTGTAATTGCGAAAGAAAATCATAAGTGTTAGTGCTAGTTTCCTTTATTAAAATTTAATACTGAAACTAATTTGTCAGCACCATCAACGTCGGTTTCATATTAATACGATTCTTTGGTACCGATTTGTTTTACAATATTTATTGGAATTTTACATCTGTCGCAGCATTCTCCTTTCTACTTCAAACCCCAGCGTATTATTAACATAGCAGATAAAAGATTTAACTTCGTTCTACTCCTCTGTTTTAGACCTATAGTCCCTCAACTTAACATCGGCATTAAAATGAAGCAGTATTAGGTGAGTAATACCAAAGGTCACTAATTATAGTTAGAAAGTTATATAATAGGCGACATTATTGACTTCTTTCTTGACTCCGAAACCTTTTCCTCTCTCGACATAGCACACATCATCCCATTGCCTAAAATGAATAATACTTCTCTACCTGAGCATTTCTATGTAATCCTCATCCTTCCTTGCCTATCAAACGTTCTGGGGGTTTTAGTGTACGCAAATAGTCCTCAGAGTTCATCTTTTAAGTATATTTCCTAAGTCCTGTACAATCTGACTAATACTACTAAACCACTAAAAAAATCCACTAGCCACTAAAACCAAAATTTTGCCACTGAAAGGGGGGTCGAAACCACCAGTTGTAGTGGAAAATCCACTAGGTTGAGACACTGTGAAGGAATGATGTCATATGAGAAAGAACGGTTCAGTGTTTCCGCATTGAAGGTGATAAACCCTTTTATTTTAACATTAAGTTATTTGCTATTTTTTATATATTTAAGTATTAATGCTAATAATAGTAAAGCCATTTATTCCCAAAATAATAATAGTGTAAACTAAAACTTTAAATACATAGAGTCATTATTTAACTCAAAATGCATCATTTTAGCGACAATAATTATATATTATCAATGCTGCTAATTCTGTTGTTGACACAACTGAATTTTCCCTCAAGTTCTCTTATTTTAGTTCGGCGTTTCTAAAATAATATTCTGTTGTCAAGTCGAACTGAATATGGTGTTCATTAACACCTAAGATAAAAAAATACCATAGCTAGATTATATTTCAGTTGATTCTATTAAGGCGATCGTGCACGTTTCGAAGCCAAGCGTGGTATTTCTTTATCTTAGGTTAAGACAGCATTAAATTTAAATCTGACATAACAGGACATCACTAAAAGTTAAAAAGGAAAGTGTTACCGTTGTTTAAAATTAAGAATTAATGAAAAAGAGTAAATTTAAAAAAATATTTTGAAATTATGTTATTAGGATTTTAAAATTCTTGGTAATGATTATTAATGCTTATAATAGATCAAATAGTAAACAAAATGTTGTATTTCTCAGTTATGGGTAAGTAATTTTACGTAGTTCACATACCTGTCAGCCCGTGGATAGCCTTTTTTATTATCTATGTAACTAACCAAATAAACGGAATTTCTCTGAATCTATGCTACTTGCATAGATTCAGAGAAATTCTTTGGCATGATAAAATAGATATTTTATAACAAAACAATAACAAATTGCAAATAAATACATAAGCCAGAGCATAAACAATTAAATTAACTAGCAAAAGCTAACTAAAAACTAGGGCACCGACCAAGTAATAATTTTGTAGACGGTTTTTTGATATGTGAATTATCTTTTAATGTGTTAAATATTAATATGGGCTTAATTAATAAATTACTTCGAAGGAAACAGTTTGCATTTTATATTGATATTAGTTCTTTAGTTTTCTAACAGATGGCGTAAGTAGTAATAAGTTGAAAAAATATTAATACAGTTTTAAAATTTTTGGCGGAAGGCGTCAGTAATGTCTACAATAAAATTCTAATGAATAAAAGTTGTTACATCTTCTATTTTACATCTTTATAAATTAAATAAAATATTTTTATGATAGATGTCTAGAACATGAATTGAAATTACTATGTGAAAGCCCAAACCTGCAAGTGTGATAGTTTGTCAGGAAAGAGTACTATAAAAATGCATAGATTGATATCTCGCTTCGCTCGCCCTGACTGAAAAATTTGGAATGTAGGTAAAACCTGAAAAATAGGTTCAATGTGACGAGGGGTTTCCCTAAGCTTAGCTTCCGACCTAGGCAAGGGAGCCTAAAAAGTTTCTGAAACTTCTCTGCCGTCTGAAATGAATTGGAGTTGTCTTGAATTTGTTCAAAGCGTATTCTTTAGTTTCCAAATATAGTACGTAGGTATGTCTTAATAATCCAGATACGAGGGAGCGTTTTTATGTTCGCGGAATGGGGGATAAGGGGTGGAAATAAAAAAAAAACAAATTATTTTTCCTTTTCAATATATTCACCTGCAAGACGGATACATTTTTCAGATCTTTCAATTAATTTGTTTATACCCTCATAAAAAAATGTTTTCTCTTTGTCTTCAAAATACGCCGAAACTGCCTCCTTGACTTCATCATCGTTGGTAATTTTTTTACCCCGCAGCTCTTTTTTCATTTTTGGAAACAGGTAATAATCGCTGGGGGCCAGGTCTGGGCTGTAGGGTGGGTGATTCAAAATATTGAAGCAAACCTTATGCAGGGCAGCCAACGCAACGCGGCTCTTGTGGACGGGCGCGTTGTCGTGCAAAAGCAACACACCTTTTGTCAATTTTCCCCGTCTTTTCTCTTTAATGGCTTCTTTGAGTTGCTCTAATATTAAAGCGTAGTATTCTCCGGTTATAGAAACACCTTTATCTTTATAATCGATCAATAATATTCCTTCCGACTCCCAAAATACCGTTGCCATGAGTTTCCCATCTGACTGTGACACCTTAAACTTCTTGGGAGGTGCTGTGCCCTTTTTATACGAAACTCAGGTTCATAATGATGAACCCAAGTTTCGTCTCCAGTAACAATTCTACTCAATACAGCATCCTTGTCTTCATTACAAAAGTCTAAAAATGCACGTGAACACTCTACGCGCTGTTGTTTTTGCGTCGGCGTGAGCATTCTCGGCACCCATCTTGCACTGACCTTTGTCATGCCAAAATGATCGTGCAGAATTCTAAAAATGGTTGTATCAGATACTCCAACCATTTCTGCGAGTTGTTTCTTCTTTAGTCGAGCATCGTCGAGTACAATTTTTTCGACTTTTTGGATAAGTTCTGGCGTGATCATCTCGATGCTCCTGCCCGGCCTCGGGTCGTCTTCAAGGGATTCCCTTCCTTGTTTAAATAAAATGTGCCATTTGTACACCATGGTTTTTCCTGGACAAGAGTAGCCGTAAACCAATGACATCTCATTCATTATGGTCGCAACTGATTTTCCTTGCTTGGTAAGGAACTTTATAACGGCACGATATTCGATTTTTCCATGTTTCACTTTTCACTCCCGATTATGTTGCTTGGTTGACGATAACTCAAAGACTAATTGTCTAATAACAATGAAACCTGGTATTTATACTAATTGTGAGTCACTGAACACGTGACGATTCTAATGAGCCTAATCACCCCACTCCAACCCTCTCATTCCGCGAACTTAAAAACGCACCCTCGTAAGATACATGATAATAATATTATTGTGATTTAAGATGAAAAATAGAATGCCCATACCTTTCCGTTAAACTGACCAGAGGCAAAACACGTAGTCGCTATTCATCATAAAAAAATCCACTATATCTTAATAATTTATACTGAAACAGTATAATAAACAAATAATTCGGCATGTATTTAATTTAGATAACGTCTAATTTTAGTTCGACATTTCTATTTTCAGTCAATCTTTGACTTGTAACTAGAATGTACAACAGAATAACAAATGACAAATTATAAAAAATATAATTTAACATTGTAAAACAATCGAATTATACATTATAAAACAATCAAATTATCAAAGTTCATTAAAAAATTCATTAAAATTCGGTTTCGTAAATATATAATATTTTTAACTTAACATAAAATCATTGCTAAGCTGTTTCAATTTTGGGTAGCCAAATTTAAGCAAAGGCCTCCTCCATGCATCTCCACTGTTTCTTGTCTTTTGCAAGTCTAGTCCAAGCACTTAGATGAAAAAGACACGGCCCGAGGGGGTCGCCACACGTAAAAAAAAAGTAGATGAAAAAGACTGCAACCATCAATATTTAAGTATAAGAAAATAATGAATTGCTGCATCAACGTTGGAGTTACGAAACGGTCGGTTGTTACTATTTTTTTTGCCTGCTGCAAATAAGACTATGCTAATCTTATTTGCAGATATCAGATAAATTATATTGATTTGTAACTTCAACCGTACTTTTATACAACATTATAACATTTGATTATGAAAGTTTAAAATTAGAAAAAAAATAAATAAAATAAAAATGTTTTTTGACAAAAGTTTTGTTGTACAAATTTTTGCAATATTTTGCTCTGCACAACAAATTAAGGTAAGTAAAAAATAAATATGATAAACATATTAAAAATTAATTTTCATAAAACATCCGAGTCTGCTTGTGTGGTGGGTGTGTGTGTGTGCGTATGCTCGTTGTATGTGTTTTGATGAAGGATGGAGTGTTCTTTTGCGAGTCACGACCACAAGATCACTCAATTAACATTATTATTATATGAGTAACTCTTCTGTCGTTTCCTGAGCGAGTGGTTGTAAACATGACTGTAACTTTATTTTTCACTTT